AAAGATCAAACCGCCTGTGCAATGAAACACGAAAAGGCAGGCAGGATGCTTTTTACAGCTTTTCATTGTCATTGATTACATCATCTTTTCAGATGGTCTCACTTGGTCTTCACGAATTTGAAAATTGTTTCATGTGACCAAAAAGCTGTTTGCATACAACTGTGACTGCACACATGGAAATAAATAGATGGAAAGTTGTCCCTGTTTTGCTCCTTTGCAGAATCCGTTCAGCTTCGGGGTGCAGATCCCCAAGGGGTAGGAACACCGCGTTGTCAAGCCTGTGGCCTGTAATTGAGCAAAGCCTTCTTAGCGTCCCAGCTCCCAAACTGCCTAGCAGAGCTTTGTATAACAGGCCTACAATTGAAATCTAGTGTCTGCCAAAAGTCCATTCAGAGTCTTTTAGTGGGATAGGCCTGCAATGGGTCAGTGGTTCTGAAAGAAGTCCATAGGCCTGAGGGCAGCAAGAAACAACTTGTGGCCTCCTGAACACCTCTTCGATTGTTTTGCCCCTCCTGAGAGAGGAATATTGTTGTTTCCTTTTCCCAATTCATTCCAAAGCTGCAGTCCAGTCCTCCAGAAGAGACCCTAGAGTTGAGTACCTTAGTAGAGATTTCCATATTCCAAAAATTGTTGCTAAATATAGTAAGGAACATGTAAAACTAGGCATATTCAGCTACCTTATTCTGTTAATTGAATTGCTTAGAGCAACATAACTTCAGTAAATAATTATTTAAGGCAAGGTTCTGCAAACTTGCTCTAAAGAGAGTAACTCTCTTTACAAGAGGCCACCTCATGTCAGTGAAATTACTGAAGTACTACGAGAAAGGGATAAGAATCGCGCTTTAATAACCTTAGCATTCCATGTTCCTTGGTTTTATTCCTTTTACTTTTCATTCTAGTCATATTTTCTTTATGATTTTACTTTTTTGTTTAACATATTTCCTAATTTTAAAAAGGTGTATTTCCTTCTTTTTTTATCTCCCTTTATTTATTTCCTGTCCTTTTTTTTTTTTCCCTGGATTTTTGTTATTTATAGTTTCTCCCTTTTATCTCATCCTCACCCCTTCATCTCTCACAGGCAACATGTGCTAGTTATTTTTAAGAAAAAAAATTATGATTGTTTCCAAAGAAAGGACATTTAAAAAGAAGCTCTGCCTAAGCAAGAATGGCAAGATTCATCTCTGCTCTTCCTGTCCGTTCTGTATGATTCCTTCACACTGTCTCATCCTATCTGTGTTCTCTTTTGTCTTCTTTGTTTTCTCTTCATTCAATTCTACATCATTATTCCTCCTATTTTCCATTCTATTTTCCTCTTCTCAGATGCATCCCTCTGCACATTCAGTTTAACTTTTCCACTGTATGTTCTCTTTGTGGAAATCACTGATTTCCCCTCATGCTCTGAGACTTGTGTCTCCATGAAGTTCCTTTCTTCCTTTCAAATTCATTTTACTGTCATCTGTTACTATAAAATTAAAATGCCTTCTACAAACAAATTATTCTTCTTTCTTTCCCCTGATCTCCAGTCCATTTTCCATTAACAATGCTTTGTCCTGCCTTTCTTACCTCTCATTGGACTTCCTCTGCCAGCTCTTTACCCTGTCTGACTGGGGAAATCGTTCCCTATAATCCCTCCCATGCTCGAACTCTGTGCAACAGAAATTTTGCTTTCTCCT